GGGGCTCCGGGCTCACTGCCCGGCCCCCACCGCCCCCTCAGGTAGCGCCCGCCCCGGAGAAGCGGCGAGCTCTCGGGAGCCGCCCTGAGGAGAGCGGCCCCCGCCCGCTCAGCGGCACCGCCGCTGGGCAGCCTGGCACGCAAAGAGGATGGACCCGCAACAACCAAAAAGAATGATACTTTTATTTTCCACAGATTTTTTTTTTTTTAAAGGTACTTTTGCTACATAGTTTTATGTATTTTCTATCAGACTATACAGGTTCATCTTCATGGAGCCCAACGTTGTACAAGTGTAAAGTGATATGTTTGGTAGTGTTATCTATAACGTCTTAAAAAGTTTAGAGTTTTTTTTCCTTTTTTTTTTCTTTTTTTAAATTTATTTATTTTTGGAATGTACAGTATATGAGGTAAAATTAAGATTACATTAAAAACTGTCTTCAATGCAGTAATACGCACTGAGGCTCAAATGGCAAATACACTATTAAATGACTATCAAAAATAGGAGCTCATTTAAATTTTACTATGAAAAACATAAGTCACTGCAGATTAACTGTAGTAACAAATCTTACCGTTTTAGACATTCAACCGTAAGAAATCTCTGGGCTGTTACACGCAACCTCATTTGCACTGCCAAACATGGCACTTTTAAGAAGGTTCTAGAAAACATCAGTTATCGGGGATCCTGCGGGAAGGTATCAGCCTATACGTACAAATGACAAATTCGAAATAAAATGTAAACATACAGTAGATTTTAAAGACAGATCGTTCTTGCCACGCGGAGGCCAAGTTCTTCACCATTTCTTTTTTTTTCTTTTTTTTTTAAAAAAACCCAAAACTCTGCAACATTATTCTACAGCACAGATCATTAGACGTATAAACAATTACAATACATGCCCGTTCTAATATAAGAGAAATTCTTCAGAGATCTTCAAAGCACAAGACAGAGGTTCCTTTTTTATTATTATTAAGACCGACAGAAGTGTTTAATACCGTTAAGAATGCTAAACTGAACAACTAGAAGTCATTAATGATCCACTATCTTGTAACTCAAATAAATTAAAAGTAGCTAATTACAAAGTGTATAACAAATAACGTAAGTGTGATGAGACAAGGACTGTTTTGTTTTTAAAGATAGTTTCACTACAAGCTTTGTGTCACTGGCAGTCATTGACATCTAGGCAAGATGTTCAATGGGATACTTGACAAAATTCAGTCTGGTCATTCAAGAACTCACAAGTGCAAGCTCACAAAACATTGATGAGTTATGCAATTGCAAAGTGCTCTAATGCAACATTAACTACATGCAATCAACAATTTGGTACAGTATCCAAAGAGACATTACATTAAACATTAGGATCTCAAGAAAAAAAGCAGCTTTAAGTTTTCTGGTGCAAATTACTACACTTCGTCTTCTGATTTGGTGCCCCAAAGAAAGAAAACAAGAAAGAAAGAAAACGGGGAAAAAAAGGCAGTGCTTGATTCTGGTGGATATGGCAAGTGAATGTTGGGGAAACAGCAAAAACTCAAGAATGAATTTTATCTCAAAAATCTATTTACTAGCCAAAATCAGAGGGCACAGACATCTGTATAAACTGCATCCGATCAAAGGTCAACTTCGGAAATGTGTTTTTTCAATTTAAATAGTAAGTCTAAGAAGTTCTCTCACACTCTCCCTTCTATCTATATTTGTAAGACATAAAAGAGGCATTTTTGTAAGTAAACATCAAATCCTGGGGGCAAGATAAACCACTTGTGCCATCCCCTTGCAGTCTTTTGAAAGTATCTACTTGCAGTGAAGAACTCCACATTTATCAGATAAGAAGCTTCCTTCATCCATACTCTTCCATCCAGTTTATTATTTGCTGCCTGAGAAAAGCCCCTTCTGTTTTTCAGCATAAATCCTGCTTCCCAAATAATTAAGACAAATGAGGAGGTAGAAATACAGCGCTAAATTGCTTTCACAGCATCGGATTAATATTGTATACAGCACAAGTTTGTTAGTGTAAGTTTTAAATGCGATCTACACATTCTTCCCTGTTGTGGTAGCAACCCTTAGAGGTGTGAGCCAGGAAACCATTTTTATACTCCTGTTTACTGGTCAAAGCCTTTCCATGAAACACTGCTTGCCTGCCCCGTATCGAGTTTGTACTGCAAGAAGGCATACCAAGGAAAAGGTTGTATTTCTGCGTTCTAATACCGTGTGTCAGCCTATACCTACCAGTAAGCATCCTAAAGTTGCTGAAAAGGTTTGCATCAGTCCCAACGCCGGTGCTAAATGCCTGGTTTTGTAAAAGCAAGAGAACAGAATTACTTTTAGATTATGAGAAAGTAAAATGTAATGGGCAGCATTCTAAAAGAAAACTCTTTTCTTCACTTTATTACGAAGTACTGAATGATAACAGCGATCAGAATGGAAAAGATAGCAAAAAGTGCGAGGATGACAGCAGCGCACACTTGGTCGCTCTGTGACCATTGTGTCCTTGTGGTCTGCACAGTGTCCTTGTTGGTGCTGGCCGCTGGCTCAGTCCTCTGAGAGATGAAGAGCACGGGGGCGCTGTAGGGGCCGATCAGGTCCTGGTGGCCGATGCTCTCTTGGCACTGTCGAATGGCACACGCACGGAAACGGTATTCACAGTTCAGCTGCAGGCCTGTGTAGCGGAAGGACCAGTCTGGACCCTTGTAAATCTGGCAAGAAAGAAAAAAATAATGATAGGTCAAGTAAAAACACCCTGCATACACATATATACCTCGGTATGGTTTTGTTTATGGTGAAGGTAACTGTAAAAAGTATGACACCTCACCAATGTGGACACGAAGCTCACAAACACAATTTAAATGCCAGATAAAACCTCCAGTCCTTTTGGTGAAACACAAGGACTACATGTGCTTTCACAGCGTGATGAGTACAAGCCAAATAAACGCTGTCAGAAGCCCCTATGTTACAGCATTTCAGTGACCACTTACAACGTAAATTCTATACCAGGGGATGTAATATACAATATCCTATCACAGGATTTTAGGTAATAAAAACCAAACCCAGTGCTGCATCAAGCTACTTCATTAAGTCAAATCCAACCCAACATACTTTGTTATGGTTAAGATACCGTGTGTTTAGAATATTATAATTTATCCCGATAAACACTGTGTCAGGAAAGGCACAAGGAGACCTCTCTGTGATTTTTAATTTCATCAGATCCCAAGATGCAGATGACTTAATAGAGTGCTCTCCAAGGGTGTCTCAGTTGGCTGGTTAATGTGGGTTCACAACTTTTCAGCACCGAGTGCCTAATTCGGTTAAATCTAAATGCTAGTTTCTCAAATTAATTTGCATCTAAGTAAAGGTCTTGTAAAAGAAATCAGAGATGGGCACAATTTTCTGTTTGTAAGTGTATCAATAGCAAATTAGTTATTATGTGGGTAGCATGGTACAATTTGATTTCTCTCTTTAAACTCCTTCACCTCCCCTTACCCCATTACTTGGATTTGCTTTATTTAATTGGTAGCAGGATACAGGAGTATCACATCATGGAGATGTTTTCCCTACCGCTATCACACAGTATTTCACAAATGCAAACTACCAACCATTCAATGAAAGAAGCAGGCAATCTCTTCCAATTTGGTCTGAAGAGCTGTTGCTGTGCCTGCAGCCACTCTGGACTCAGGATGTCCTCCAGCAGCCAGGCCACTGAGCTTTACTGGAAGCTACAACCTGGAGCCTTTCCTTTCCTTCAAGAAATTGTTCCTGCACTCAGACAGGGCAGGTCATCGGAAATGCAGCTTCCTCAAAACTCTGCTAATTTGTACCACGCATTTGGTAGCGAGCAAACAGGCACAGCCACAGCCACACATCCCACTCCAGCTGCAGCTGCGTCAGCTGCCCTGGGTCACTGTCCTCGGCTGCTTGGCCCCAGTGCTGTGCCAGAAGCTGCCTTTCCCTCAGATTTGTTTGCTGGGGTATTTGTATGGTTGCTCCCTAACACCCTTAAGAGCCTGACCGATGTATAGAACTCAAACAGCAGATTACTGATTTATTTTGTCTGAAGCATGTAGGAAGCAATGACATGAGCAATTCGGCTGATAGATCAGGGAGGAGCGTGAAGTTTTGGCAGGGAAATAGTAGTAAACAGCTTGGAGTACACTTCCAGGCAGTTCATTTTTCGTCCGTGTCAAAGAAAACTGTCACCATCATATCTAAGTGTCTTAAAGGCCATTTCCACAGAGTTTATTTCTTGACTGTTCCAATTTTGATTTTTTAAAACTAGTCTCATTTTATTTGAATTTACTGCACTAACTATTCTGGAGAGGCAAAAGGAATCACGCACCTCACTCCACTTGGTCATTTCCAAGCTTAAGAGTGTAACCTTTATTTTCTTGTCCAGCTCATTTAACAATGCACATTGCTCATCAAAGTGTGATTTGACTCCATATCTAGAAGCAGCACTGACCACGCCTTACTTATACACTTAATACTGCATTTACAATTTTAAAGTTACAATAAAGAATATTCACATGGCAAGGTAACAAACACCTTGCATTATGGTTCATTTTTTACAGAAAAATTTAACAGAGGGACATAACAAAACATAGCACTACACTAAAAGTTATGAATTATGAAAATATTAAGGCTTATAATCTACCAAACCACAGGCAAAACTTATTTAATATTGACCTATAATAAAATTATAATATACCATAAATAATTTTGTTTCCTTGCTGGAAGAAAACCTGCTTGCTTAATAGTGTGAAACCAAGTTTCCAAGCCTAATTTCATGTCAATTTTCAGGCGGTTTATAGGGAAGCAAAATCAGCACTGCACATTCTCTAATAAATGCAGACTAATTTGTAGCTTGGCATTTTGAACTGCATCTTTGGATAATCAAACCTGAAATTAAAGCACACTCTCAGCTGCTTGACCCTTGTAGTTACAGCATGCCCTAGTACTGAAATAGTCTTATGGTAAAACTCCACTGAATCACACAAAAAGTTT